CCACCACCACCACCACCACCACCACCACCACCACCACCACCACCACCACCACTTCATAGACAACGTTGACGGTGGTAAGATCTACGACCTCTTAGGTGCCACTCATGCAGTGGCTTGGTGACACGCAATCCTCTCAGTTGATATGCCAAAACAGCGAGTTCCTGCTCGACGCGCTGTTTTGACAACTGGTGATAGGAAGGGCGGACATTGTAAAATGTTCAATTTACCTTTCATGAGCAAGATGAGGCCTCAAAATAAAGTAGGACGAAGTGTGTGGATTGATTGAAAGCAAATCAAAGGTCAGACGTGATTTGACGCCATTGATGGAATGGTGGGACCCGTAACATCCACAACACAAAAGGCATCTCCTTAAATAGTGATGGAGGAGTTGAGAGGTGTTCTTGTTTCCATTGTGAGAGCTTAGAGGATGAATGAGATAACATCACGGCACAAATTATGGTCACCATCGTCTCAAAAAGGACAGCATTGCTGACCTTCAAACTGGCGAGTGTGTTAGTAAAAAAAATGATTACTAAAAACTCAAAGATGAGAAGGAGACGTAATAGTAAAGAGGACGAGAAGAAGCATCTTCACCTTGTCTTGCCTGCTTTGGGATGCACACTGCATTAATCCACTGCAACACCAGCGGTGGCTTGCGGTGGTGGGGATGGCGGCATCAGTGGTAGCATAAGAATCGGTGCGGCATCGCCATCACCACGCTACTTCCATTTAAGTGGCTGTGCTTCTGAACTGCGCCTCCATTAAACTATCCTCCTGACGCTTCCCATGACGGTGAGGTGGTGGGACGAGGTTAGACGGTAATGCATTGGCATTGTTATACATTAGCAAGCTCAGGCAATCTAAATCACCCCCTCTTCTCCCTTTTTTTTTGATTCACTATGGAAAAATGGTTCTTCGGTGTTATCAACGGTGTCGCTTATCTCACTTCTGGGAAGTAGGCAAGAGTGAATGGCCGTAAAAATGCTTCAAGGTTATCTGCTTTACAGATGTTAGTTTCCCAGCATTCAGGAGCCGTGAAAAATAAATTCTTTCACTTGGAATTTGTTGTGTATAAGTTTGTTTGTATTACGGCTTTCGGATCTTAAGTTTTTTTTGTGTTATTGGCTTTAGTGATTGGAGGATGACTTCTGTCCTCACCTTTCCCTCGTTTACGCCTAAATTCTTGCCACCTTCTCTGACTTTTTGACTAACCGGAAGATTTAACGCCCACATTGATAGTGTCAGAGTAATAGCAAACATTTTTTGTGCATTAAAGGAAGGAATTTGAAGTTCTCGGGCTGTAATTCGTGCCACTGCCAGCTCTAAATTGTTTCCACTTGTGTCTTTGTGAATAAGGATGTTTATATTATCGTTTTGAGAGGAGACCGCATTAAATTTCATCCTGACATCACACAAAGCGCCGTAATATGCTCATCCTTCGCACTTGCCTTTCCCGCTTCCCTCCCCCCCCCCTCCTCGGCCCTTTCCTCCTCCCCTCCTCTCTCCCCACAAAACTCCTTCCCAGTGGCTGGGCTTTCTCATTACCAAGTCTGGAGGTCACATTGGCGATAAATAATTCCCAGTTGGGCTAGTTAAAGATGCAGGCCTTATTTTTCCCCCAACTGAGCAAACAAGTGCATTTTGCCCGCATGTTTTGCACGACATGGTCTCCGGCCAACATCTGGTCTGGACTGAGGCGTGCACATGGTCGGCGTTGCATTACCTCGAGTGAATTTTACCTTCCTACAAGCGGCATTCCATAGGTTAGATTGTTTGTATGAGGCTAAACTGTGAGCACATTCGTAAGTTTTAACCCCCCAAAACCCTAAATCCCTTTAAGAAGTTGGCCTAAAATAATACGCGTTGTTAACCAGTGGGGTTTGACAAATTTTAAAGCGCTCTCGGAACCACCAGTTAACATACCGTAAACATATTTTAAAATTTCAAGGCATTTTTTTCTTTTTTCTCTTTAAATCCCAGTTGGGAATAATTATAATCCACTTTAAGCCGGTGTCCTGAAAGGCTAATAAAACACCGACCCCCGCCAGTAACAATTCCAGCTAAACTTTTTTTTTTCATGCAAGAATTACTAGTTTAGTAGAGTAAGGGAAGTTGGGTTGACTCGAGTGTTCCCGAGGGAGAAGGTTATTTGAGCCGTCGGCTAGTGTAACAAAGTTACTTTGAGGAATCGGTGGCTCTCTCTGAACCCCCTGTCTCGCCCCTTCTCCCTCTCTCCCCACGCCCACTTCCATCCCTATGAGAGAGGGGCACGACTAATTGTTAACCAGACAATAAAATTAGGCTTTTGCAATCCTCCAGAGTGCAGTATTATTACACGTTTGCTGTATTTTAGCAGATCTTTTGACTAACCGCGGTGTTGTAATGGACAACGGCGGTTCTCGTGTGTAGTTGGGTGGTGTACCCTCGCATGACAACTGGAACTTGCCCTGCCCTGCACTTTGGCAGGCCATAAATCCTTCCACTTGCTACTACACAAAAAAGTGGCTGTACGACCTTTGACGTCATTCAGTCATTAAAGACTGTCCTTCTCCCGATGTGCCTCCTGATTCATCACCTCTCCCATTACTTTTGGCAAGAGTCTAGTAAAGAATGCCACAGACAAGGAAATTTGTCTAAAGAAAATGCAGGCTCCGCAGTTCGTCTTACGATTTACGCGAATTTGCCTCCTGATTAGAGTTGATTTTGGGGGTGCGCCATTGGATCCACCTTTAAACCTTCTCTTTCGGCATTGCATTCAACACAGATGGCATTTTATTCTCACCTCTGACAAAAGTCGGATGACAGTCTATTTTGAGGGATGAAGGTCTTTGATGCTGTTTATGTGGGGCGGTCTAATGGATGGGGTGTTGGGGTTCCTAGGGCTGGTTGACATGCAACTACTTGATCATTTCAAATCGGTTCTGTTTGTACTGCAGCAATTAAATTAACTCAGGTCAAACGATGATCTACAGTCAGTGCCTCTATGATGTTGTTCCCTTTCTCTGAGTCAACTGCTCAAAGGTAAGACCGCTTTGCCCTCCATTCGCAGTATTTTGTTTTGAATGAACTTGTTTGCCTTTTGTCTTCTGTGACACACCTCTAATTCGACCAGCCATGGCGACTTGTCTTCCCCTTTCAAAACGACATCTCCATTGTTGAAGTTTTGCTGTTGACTAGGCAAGCCTGATACAGTCCCATTGATGGAGTCGCATGGGTATGGAAGAAAGACTTGTTCATGGACACCTAGGAGAGGTCTACGAGAAGACTGTGCCTTAGACGGCCTTTACAACACAACTTGTCCTAAAAGAGGGAGGCCAAACAGGCCCACGCACTTACATCATTGAAAAAAAGGAGCGGTGTGAATACAATCGGTGATCGGCGCAGCCATCCAACCGACACCGTCGTTCAGTCCAATGCACACACCAAGATGCGGCAGGGCATGTAGTTCCGCTTAAATAATTAGACATTGTACCGTGTCTCGGAGTTTGTCAGTGCCGCAGTCGCGCCGCCTGAGTGGTTTTGCCAACTGATCCGTAGAGGTCGAGGCGAAACACGTTTTTTTTTTTAATCAAGCATAAAGGGTCCATAAATTAATCAATTTTTATGACTACAAACAATGAACAAACTGGAAGGTAATTTGGTGAATTCAGTTTTTATGAATTAGAATGCTAATGTGGCTTCTTCTACTTCGGCAGCGAGTGTCAGGCATCCGCCCCACCATCAAGTACGCATAGTACTATTAATAATTTGTTAAGTATCTCAGCCATTTTTGACTGCAGTGATTGTGCTATAAAAGTTATTATTAATAAGTTACTCGTTGTGGTGGCAATTTAGGCCTTACACTTCATTCCAATATATTTTTACAATCTTGACTGTCACCATCTAATTTTACGTGATTTCCTTTTATTTGTTCGATCTTCTGCTGTACAGATCGCAGTTCTGGCATAACTATGAGGAGACATTTCGGCCAAAAATTTAAGGGCCCAACTCCAATGCACTCAAAGTCACGTAGCCTACTTATAAATTTTCAGTAGACTTCTAGGTACTCTTAGAATTTAAATGTTTTGAACTCTTTAAAGCGGTTATGGATGGTAATGCATCTCGTCAGTTTAAGGAACACTCACATATGAATGTGAGTATGGTACTGGCGATCTAGCACAAAGACGGTAACTAAAACTGCATGCCTTGGGGCACAGCAAAGACTTTTAATTTTGTGCAATTTCCTTTAATGACGTCTTGACTATTTTTCCACTTTGCTGCACATAATTTGCCCACGATAAAAATTTGTGTAGAAGGAAACTTGATCTCAAACGCTTGGCCATTTGAGATTTTTATCTGCCGGCAACAGTTGTTGCCGTTCTTCAAACGCTACAGCAGTCGAAATTGTTTGCAGGATCCTTTTGCGATTCTCCATAAATAAATTAATGAATCGCCTAAAATATGCGAAGGACAAAGTTCCAACTTGCGTGGTTACCTACTGACAAATTTCTATAAGTGCTGTCCAACGCTAATACTCACCAACATTTCTACTTATAGTGATGGGCACCAACGGCACGCTGAATGCCTACATTCAACCTGCAGCGTCTTCAGGCAGTGGCGTGACAATGGGAGCGTGCAGAGACTCTAGTGGTTCCCCCTCGCCCACCTCTTGGCATCTCATCGCCGCTTGCCCTACCACCGTAGTCTCGTCTTCTGCCAATACGGCAATTCGACGTCCCCTCTTGGCCAACAATGCGGTTGCGGTGAGGTTTTTCTTCATTAACTCTGCCCCAATTACGTCAATTAAAGTGGTTTTGAGTTGACTTCCTTCGTGGTGTAGGCACTACCGGATGTACAGGAAAGAAAGTCTTTTGCATCCAAGATGTCGGGAGTATTGTTCCCTCAAAAATCCAGTAAAAGTGAGCTTTGTTATTACTTTCCATTCTACAGTCCGTGTAAAAGCCTTATTTTTAAACACAGCAGTCCAATTTGTAGACCAAGTTCACTGCGAAAATCGACAGTTTTCCTCACCTCCATCCGCATCAATGATCCTACTGCCACCGAGAGCCACTTCACCCATCACCACATCGAAACAAAAGGGTTTTGGAGATCAAAACCACCAGCAACAGCAACTGGAACCACAACCGGCGTACAGTGATGGCTCAAACACCTACTACGTCATCAATCTCGATCATCGAGGGACCACCACCACCCCCGCCGCCGCCGCCGCCGCCTTAGCGTCGAAGGGTGGTCTGCTTCATCCTCATCCTCAACAATCGTGTCTCACTCCACTGGCACCAGGACCGGACTCGAGCTACGTCTAGGGTGTAAGGCAAATCCGAGGCACGATGTCCACAATGCACATTCCCTTTGTTGGTGACCTTCGACTAGGACAGTGAGAAACACACCTATTCATAGACGATCTAACGAGCAGGAGAGGCGCGATCTATTGACATGATTATATACATACACACTGGATGTATTATGCTATGTGTTGGGCCGTGTGGTTGAAGCGTGAAAGGAGGGAGGATAAAGGTGGGTTACAAGCAAGGTTTAAGTGTGTCAGCGAGATGGAGGAGTGTCCTCTCTTTGGAGAGCACCTGAGCAGGACCTTTTGCCCTACTCATTAAGCTTGATAATAAGTTCTGCAGACGATTGTTACTCTTCTCAATACGATGGCTTCCATTTGGAGGCTAAAATTGTGTGTGTGTGCTTTTAAATCTACTCTTAAGTGGGCTACAGTTGCACTGACTTGCCAAAAGTGGCCGTGGAAAGTGCCACCGCTTAGTGCACTTTAGCTGTCAACTCTTTCCTTCATCCTTCCTTTCTCTGCTCCTCCTACTGCTATCCCTCCACCAATTGATGTGCGTCGCCGCTAAGATCGTAAGACCATCTGACTTGATCAAAGAACTTTATTTGGTCTAAAACACGGCTGCAAGTAGGCATTTGGGTGTACCGTTTTCTCAAGAGGATGGAGCTTGTTGTGTCTGACAGTGCTTCATTCTCACCATCCCAAAGGCATCCCCTCCTTGGCGTTAGTCCGAGCTGTTAGTAGGTCTGCGCTTTTTAACAATTGAATGCACCGACGTGACTTTCAAGTGATTGCTTAGATTAGAAGAGGCGAAACCGATTCTAACAAATAAACATCTTCAATCGTGCCTTGCAATTCTCACGACCTTAGTTATTCGCTAGGATGATAAACTCCCCAATCCAACCAAGTCAACCTCATTGCTACATGCGTGGCATACACCGTTGGAAAAACGTGCAGCTCACGGCAGCCACTTGCCCTTCAGGTCCTTAGGGCGCTAAATAATTCACTTCACTTGCTATGATTCGCCCCCCGTCTCCCATGCTAAAATCCTCGGTTCTGGTTCCCTTCCATGGGTTTTGTGTAGGTAAGCATAGTTAAAGAGAGTGATACATGGCTGTTCATTGCACAACCATTTGAATGCAAACAGTGGCCACAAGTTGTCACGAGTCATGACTGTGAACTAGACAACGCAACTTAAAAAGGTCTTCATCGACCCCTCAAACTCTCAATGCATCCATCAATGTTCTCGTCTTCTCTTCTCTGATGTGAGTTGAGGGGCCGTATGACATGAGTAGTGAGAGCTGTCCAAATCTGTCGCCCCCTCTCTTCCATAGGTAAATTGTTCAGCAAGCTGACAGCCTAAGTAGTGGAGATGGATTCGGTTATGATACTGCGGCAGCGGGCAATGCAATCACAACCGATGTGAAGGCGGAGAACGTGGTAGTAACTGCGCTTTTTACTTTTGACCAAAGTTGTTTCAAAACATGCAAATAATTCGGCTAAAAAGGCCCTTGTGCCAGTGTGACTGACGCGCGGTTGAAGAGAAAAAAAGGAGACCACACAAGTTGGTCCGATAGCTGATTCACGCAGTTAATCACGAAGGGCGCCGTTGATCATTCTGGTGACTGAGAAAATGCGAAAGCGTGGGTGTCTAGATGACGGTGGCATCTTGGTGGAGGAAAGCACAGCAGCGGTGGTGGCGCCACTAAATGGGCACCCTGCCACAAAAAAATGTGGGTGCAAAATAATGGGGAAACTTGCTTCCTATATGATAGACACTATACACTACGAAGGGGATCATTACACTTAATCTATTCTAAACATGTATTTCTTGGCTTCTCCTCTGTTTAAAGGCTAAATGTGCTTCGGAAAAGTTTGCCCCATTACAACCAAATAAAGTCAAATTTGCACACTAATAAGTCCAAAGGAAAACGTTATATATCAATAGTTAAAAGAGAAAACTGTATTCCATTAAATGCTTTTAAAAAGCATTTTTCATAAAAAGGCTCTCCGACTGGCATGGTTATTAAGAGTAACTCGGTTTTGCAATTAGGAAATGATAATGTTATTGGAAGAACAGGTTTACGCTTGTCACGCCCCCTATCACGACTTCTTAACGGGTTCGTGTGCTCCTCTTCCTCCCATCCCATGATTTACAACTCCAAGATCACCAAGCTCGCTGAGTGCCTCCCATTTGTACCTGAGAAACGGTTACGAGCTCCCATTATAAAAACACCTCGGCGTCCTAAAGCTTTTCACTAGGTAAGAGAAGACATTAAGCTGGGCTGAATACGTGCATTCGATAAGGGGAAGGGACTGGGCTGCGGATGGCCTAAAAGGCCAGTTCACGGGCATAAGAGCAAAACAAATACAAAATAATCGTTAGTCATACAGGGGATCACAAAAACAAAGTATTACAAAGGCATTCACATTTATCAAATGTTCTTCAGCGTGAATCGTTTGCGGGTCTACAACTGCGACACTGCTATCGAAGTAAAGTTAGTTCGTAAAGGCCAACTAAAAACACTTCTGCTAGGATAGGAAAATAATGTTCCTGCCAGGGATGGCAAAGTTGGAGTCTGGAAATTGCTCTTAAAAGATCTAGATTCATCGTGGAGTTACCGACAAGAACTGTCATGGTGACAAACCCCTCTATGCTAGCATAGGCTGTTAGAAGTCAGGTTTTGCCATTATAAGCAGCCGTTGATAGAGGTCTTAGTGCATAGATGGTCCGGATGGTGTGTGCCAGTTGTCCACTATCCGATGGGAATTCCTAATAAAAGAGACTTCTGATGTTTCTTTTTTACTGCTATCCAGAACTTACTTGGTTGTTGCCGAGACATGATATACTTCTTAAAATGTGCATGAAAAATAAGTAATTAGTTGAGGAAAACTCGGTCTTCGCTCGTAATTATTGATTGGCTTTGCTTTAACACCCCTTTAAAATAGGACTCAAACATTAGTGAGGTTCGAGTTTACTAATGCAGACAAAATTTTAGAGTTGTCGGCATTTACGCATAACATTTTCCTTAACTCAACATTGCAGTGAAGTAATCCGGACCTACTCTCCACTTCCTTGGCATAATTCTCGTTGCTAATAGCTAAACTATTTACGTTCTTCGAGGCTAGATATGCTTTTACACGACCTCTGTATTAAAGTAATCATAAGCGTTTTAATGATTGGTTGTCATGGCCATGGATCGCGCAATTGTTCCATATCATAAGGTGAAATTTGTTTAGCCTTAATCTAAGTCGCTTGAGGAAAGTTTAGTGTTATTTGCCAAATATAGACCAAAAAGGCGCATTAAGAACACTGAAGATACGGACAACTTTTCGAATTCTATGCATATATATATACCCGCAGTACCTTAAAGGATTGCGAAGGTTAGCCTAAATTAATCACTTTTAAATCGGTAATTTATTAAGCAGTAAATAGCTTTACAATTATCCCGCAAAATATAAGGTAATTAAACTGGATCTTAAGGGTTTTCGTTCGGCTTTGATTTCAGCCTGTCTTGTGATTGTGGGAAGAAGAAAATCGACTCTTAACATAAAAACACTTTCCATTCTTGAGCATTGCTTGGTGCCGAACAATCGTGTTCTGGAAGGTCTCTAATAAGCATGTACTGGTGGAGATCATCAGGAACCATATTTACGTGTGGTTAGGCAAAGGCAATTTGCATGGTAACGCCGCTTATCCCGGATACAAATCACTGAAGGAAAGTAGCTGCTGGAAAACGTGGTGCCCACCAGTAAGTTCGAGTACTGTGAATGAAGGCAATTAGTTTATCACTTTTCTATAAACTTTAGTAATTTTATATAATGGCAATTACATCACTTTTTAAAATTCAATACGTATTAGCATTGGCATGTAGAATTTGTATAAACTTCAAGTAAAAATGCTCACACTTACGTTAACTTTAAGAGAGACCCACAATTTATTATGTAAATTTGGGTTTCGTCATTAAGTTATTGCTATGAAAAAAACGCCTTGAGAAATTGATACTTAAAAAATACATTTTTTAGATGCGACAGGCAATCAAAAGAGCCTATTTGGGCTCACATCTACGGGGGAGGTGAAATGAATTGTAATCTGCCATAAATTTCGCTCAAGAAGCATTACAAGTCTTTTGCCTTAGCTGTGCTGTACTGACGACAGCAGTGCAGATGCAATGCAGGCAGGGCTAGGGATAGGAAATTTGATAAATAGAATAGAGGAGATCAAAGAAGATTTAATGGTTTAAAGAAAAGAGGTGTGGCCTGTTATTTCCTCCATCCTACTTTAAGCAAAAAATTTACATGAAACCACAGATTGTCTGTATTTCATCTTGCTATAGCAATTCATAAGAGGAAACGAAACTAAGTGTTATTCGCTTTGAAATAGTAATATAGAAAATTTGTTTGCTTCTAAAACAACTTGGCACTACTTTAAATCAGAAGGAACTAAATAAAGAAGAAGGTTTGTGTATCCACACGGCGGATTCGTGAATTTCAAGTGGTAAACACAGATAACACCACAAGACCTCCCCTTCCATCATCCACTAATCAATGTGTGGAGTTGACACGCGCTTCCGAATGACGCATCTCCCACCATCACTTGCTGTGTTGGAGCTATGAGATGTGGACACCGTTTCTCCTCCTACCACCCTCCATGCGCCAATTTCAGTGCGCTGAAATGTGTCGTGTCGGTTTGAGGGATGCGGACCCCTATGAAGGGGTAGATGACTACCAACAGGGTGGCGAGGCACGAGT